CTTCCTCTCATGAGAACTGGAAATCTCCTGGAGATCATTAACTTTGGCAGACAGGGCTCTCACATATTAAGGATCACAAGACCTGTGATACAAAATCCCACGAGCTTGCTGATTAAGCCTTTCTGCCAGGCCTCCACCACCCCAGGCTCCACAGCCATCTCCCAGGGTGACCTTCCATGGACACAGGCCAGTTGGTTCTCTGCAGGAGTTCCTGTCATTTTCTTGTGTTTTGGAGAATATTCTCTTTCTAAGAAAAGGCCTGTAATGACATTCTGCTCTGAAGCTCATTGCTGCAGGATCTCGAGGTCTGAAAGAACAGAGAATCAAAGATCTTTTCTCAAAGGAAGATCCTTGGAAGATGGCTAAACGGCACATTGGACATAAGTGAGCCATGTTGTCCCAGTGCCACAGCAAGGACATCACAGGGGGAGCTTGACAGGCATCTGCCAGTGCTTCCAGGGGACAGGTGGGCCTGCCGGCCTTATAGGCACAAGCAGTTTGTGCACATATATTGGTGTGGAGAGGAGAGAGTTCATCGCCGTGCTGCTCAGGTTACAGTCCACACACGGACCAGGGTGGGTTTCACCCTTTCACCTGGAGCTTGGATGCCACTGTGCCTCTGCTTTGTCACTGAGGCTCAGGGGTGAACATGGCGAGCTTTACCCTCCTGTATTTACTCACCGGGGAAGCACTTACTCACACCAGGCCTCTCACAGCAAAGTCATTCTGACTGGGCACGAGAGCAATGTGCAGGCTTCTGTCCCAAATTATGCCAGTGCTTCTGCTCCATTTTATTCTATGATTCCATGATTATGTTAGTACTTTGCCCCCAGTTGACGGCATGGCAAAGAAACCTTGCAGTATATAAAGTTCTGTAAGACTACAACTCTGACAAGTTGAGACTGGATGGGGATATCATCACAAGGCCCAACAATGGCTTTACACTCAATTACATTTATGGTTTCTGTGATTCATCTAAATGTTTGTGGCTTTGTCACTACCTGGAAGTTAAGAAAAGAAAAAGAAAAAGGAAAAGAAAGCCCCGGAATGAACAGTTTTCTGCTGCAAGACACTGGGTGACACAACAGAAACTGAGCAACTACCTTTGGTGGTAGGGAAGAGTCATTTTCTGTGCTGACCAGAGCTATATTTGATTTCTTAGGCAATGTCAGCTTTTGCATGCTACATTCTCTGGCTAATAGCCAGGGCGATGTGTAATACTTTAGCCACACTGTTGTTACTTAATGCTTTCCTAATCTGCAATTTGCGCAAGAGGAGTAAAATCTAAGCAAAGCCACTGAGAACGTCTCCTCTAATAATTTATCAAACGCTACTTTTGTTGTTGGCAGGAGGCAGCAGTGGCTGGAGGTGAATGTTTTCCCACCGCAGCGCCGTGAGATAAACAAGGGGCAGCTGATTCACGCCGCACTTATTTTCTGCCATCCACCCTTTGTGTCACCCTGATATTTCTTCAAACGATAAGCCTGCGTGAGCGCTCACGGTGCGCCGCCGAGGTCCGAGTTTCATCTCTTTCTGCAAATTGCATGTTAATTAACCATTAATAACAGCGGGAGTTGCATGCAGAAATCCACACCCACAGTGACGAGGCTGTGCCCTGGCTGAGCTGCTGATAGCTGCGTTATGGGGCCAGGTTGGTCCCGGCAGCCCCACAGGCACTGCTCCCTGTCCCCGGAGAGGAAAACAAACCAACTCTGGCCAGCTCTAATCTCGCCATAAAGAAAAGCGTTACCTCTTGCTCTATGAATTTTATTTATTTTGGTCCTCTGGGCAGTGCTTGCTGTTGTTAGAAACATGATTGCTTCATACAGTTATGTTAATGTTTGCATTTGACAGAATGTAATTGATACTTCTGCTGCGACGGCTTCAAAGCCAAATTAGGAAATGAAGTGCTGCACATTAGCTTGTTTAGCTGGTTAAATGCATACAGTGCAATGAAAACTAATGAGTTCTCTTTAAGGCATTTTCTAAATAGCCAGGTTCATAATAGAAAAAAAAAAGTTCCAGCTGGGAACTCATATCCTAAAGGATTTGTAGTTTTGTTGTAACAAAAATGGATCCTGGCTGCAATATGAATCCTGGGTTTCACTCAGAGAGTGGGATTTTGCAAGTTACAGAGGAATATAGCGTAAGAACTGTTGCAAATTTCACAGTACTTTCACCAACAATAGTTCTGAGAGATGTTGCATTTAACAAAGACATTTTTGCAAGGGATTAATTCAGAACATGGTTGTATGTCAGGCTATTCTTCTCGGTGCTCTGTAGGGAAACACTGTGTTCGTAAGAAGCATTTGCACAGGATATTTCTTCATGCTGTCAAACCTGTGCAGTGCCAGAACCTTAGAATCACAGAATGACTTGGGTTAGAAGGGATCTTAGAGCCCATGCAGCCCCAACCCCTGCTGTGGGCAAGGCTGCCACCCACCAACTCAGGCTGCCCAGGGCCCATCCAGCCTGGCCTTGAGCTCCTCCAGGGATGGGGTACCCACAGCTCTCTGGGCAGCTGTGCCAGTGCCTCACCACCCTCTGAGTAAAGAATTCATTCTCAACATCTAACCCACATCTCCCCTCTTTTAGTTTAAAGAGAACTAAAGCTAAATGGTTTTTTCATCCTGACAGAATGCAGTAGCACGAAAAAAAAATGAACAAAAAAATCTGCTTTTGTATAAAGAGATAATCTGAAGAGATTTGCTTGACAGAGTGCACTCAGCACTGATTGAATAATTTGTGTGTTTAAAGCTATCTCTGGGGCCTGCCCTCAATCCATTAACACAGAGCTGAGAGGAGCACTGCACAGCCTTTGTGATTCAGCCAAGTGCAATGAATCTCTCTATGTATCTTTATAAGTGTGTTGGTTTTTGTTTTTTTTTTTCCCCTTCATAAATAACTGATGGAGAAATGTCTGAGACCGATTTCAAGGTGTCCTAAAATGAGGGTCGTTGTTTGCATCGGTGGAACTGGAACTCAACCAATCCTTCATAATGAACTGCCCATACACTCAGCAGTGTCACCCGTTTGGCAAGGAGATGTTGACCTTCAGTCTGAGCATGCTGAGCTGGCTGCTTCACCTGGCGCTCCAGGAGGAAGCTGGCTTACACTCTGCTCTATTGCTTGAAAAATTATCGAACGGAGGGATAAAAAGCAGCTGAAGTATCAATTCAGTGTTGATAAAAATATATATCCAGGAGATAAGGGAGGCAGCTGGAGGAACCCAGGATGTCGTGGAAAAACCACAACTTTCTGTTGTTTCCAGCAGCAAATGGATGAGTAGCAAAGGCTCCCAGCACCTTCCGGAGGGGGCAGCAACTTCTTTCAACTTCAGTACAAAATGGTGAGCAGCGCTGAGAAATAAACAAGAGATTCCTGCAGCCCTTGTCAAAAGGGACCATTTAAAAATAGACAAATTATGACTCGAGAAGAAATGTATGCATTGCATAAATCAAAGTTCTCACACCCACCATCAAAGTTTAATCACTTAATATGCTGGTCTTTCAACATGCTCAGAAACTTTGTATACAATAATACAAACGACGAGGTTACGAAGCAATAGCAATTTATTCTGCTGCACAAACGGATGTTGCATTATAATCCCTAAAGCAACACAGAGGTTGTTTGCAGATGTTACTACCATTTGCCATTTATTTTAATTGCTCTACAGTGTCACTCATGAAATAAAGTCATGGGGTGACCTATTCATTCACCTACTGAGGGTGACTTCACTGCAGGCAAAAAAATATATATATATATATATATATATATATATATATATATATATATATATATATGTTTTAGACATTGACAAGTTTTCACCAAAGCGTGAACCTCCTGCAGTTGTTCTAAGCAAATGCATCAGGGCTCAGATCCAAGGCTGAAGGTATGGCAGGGCAGCGGTAATTCAATCAGCTGGGCGATGCTGTGCATGTATTTTTACAACTTTTGCAAGAATAACATCAGTCAAGTAACTTGAGATATTTTGGTGTCTGACATTCAGTCAGAGAGCTCTAAGAAAATATGCTTACTGCACAGATTGCTGGTTTGTCAGAGTGGGAGGCAAGGCACCTAATTACAGCCATCACACCGCTCTTCGTCATTGACCAGCTCCCATCCCCTCACCTCGCTCTCAGCTCACTTTCTAAGAGCAGAGCCTTTCTCAAAGCCACCCTGGCTCCGAGACCTGCCTGGAAGCAGTTGCTCTGGTGAACAGATTTCGAAAAAAAGGACAAAGTTAAGCATGAGGCAAAGTATAAATAAAAACCGAGCCTCTCTTCCTCCTCCTCTGTACTTGCGAGCGATGATCTCACTGCTCGGGGTGGATTACAAGAGTGGCTCGAGCTCTTTCAGGAAAGCACATTCTCTAACCTTGATACTGCTGCTATTTATACGCCTCGCTCCCAGCCACAAAGCACAGCAGCTCTGTCAGCTTTCAGCTCATTTTTAACAAGAGCACGGGGCAGCTTCTGTGCTTCCGCCGGCAGCACCAGAGCCCACCTTCAGCCTTCCAGCAGCTCTCAGAGCTGCTTCCTTGGAGACACCTGAGACCCAATTTTCCACTAGGTTGCACGTCCCATAGCCAGGCAGGCAAGTGCAGGAGGACGGCCTTTCACTGCCATGTGCACCCAGTTATAAAAGAATGCACAGGCTGAAAGGCAGTGGGGTGACTTAAGTTGGGCGGCTGAAACCCAACAGCTAAATCAGACTGACTCTTCCAAAGCAGAGTCACTTATCTTCCCCATCCTTACCAAACAGGACGCCCTGTCCCATGTAGCTCTTGGGAGAGCTCATGCCCTTTCCACCTCCCCAGTCCCAAAGATGGGGAACAGCGTCCCCCATCCCCTCTCACCTCCATGCAGATTTAACCAGGGGGTGATGAGCCGCCTGCAGGCAATGGCCACGAGCTGATGTGCTTTGAGGCCAAACCCCATCGTTTGAGGCAAAGCCCAACGTTCACCCTGAGACACCACCAGGAATGGGAGCAAATATTATGAAACCAAGTTTATTAAAACTTTCTACAAGTCAGACTTTATCATCCAGGTTTCCACAGATATCTACATATTTACAAGTTGGACATAGTGTTTTCAGCTTTTCTAGCAGATTTTTCCACCAATATATACAAATTCACCGTTCTTTTTCATAGAAGGGTTAAACTGTATCACAGATACAAATGTCAAGCAATCATGAGAGGTTTAGTGCAACGGAGAGCTGTAGTGCCCTGCTCTTAATGCTCATGATTCTGTCAAGTTAGTATTGCCAACAATAATTCACATTAAATTGCTCTTTGACACCTCTTATTAGGACAAACAAAGTACAATGGAACGAAACATAAAAAAGCCCAACAACAACAAAACAACCCCCCACACGTAAGGTATGTACAAAGTACACAGTCCATGAGGTATACATGGTATTCCTGCAGTGTGCCGGCAGCTCAACGCCGGACCACCCCAGGGATGACCCCATCGCCCACCTCACATCCACTGGGCACTGCGCTCTCTCTACCACAAACAGCCATCTCTGTGTGAGCCACTGGGCACAAGGTGTGGAACAGAGGAATCTGAGGCAGGGCTAAGCTTTACTTACCCCCAACCTGGGAAGCTAATCATTTAGGTCTATTTGTTATCCACGCACATTGGAAAGACTATGAATAATCATGCAAAACAAAAGAACAAAATTTAAGGGGGGGGGGAGAAAAAAAAAAACAAAAAACAACAAAACATAGCCACAGGCCAACAACATACCTGAATAATCAACTTAAGGGCGTATGGAGATTTTATTCTTAAGACTGACTTTCTAGGAGCAAGGGGGGAGAGGGGGGGAAGAAGAATTGAGCCTGTAGGAAGACATGAACATGTTTACATATACTGTACAAGATGCCCCTTATTGCTGTCCAAGGCAAGGTGCCCTCCTGATAGTGTTACGTTTGGGGAAACAGATACATTTTGGCACTGGGAGCTGAGACTCGCTGCCTGACCAGCCTGCTGAGGGCATGAAGTCGCACAGGACACACTGCGGTAACTCGAGGCTGAAGGCTATTTAAAACAATTTTGCATTCAGCAAATGGCATCAGAGGGGATCCAGCTGGAGATCAGCTACTCCCCCTTTTCCCTGTGTCAGAAAGGTCCTGGCATCCTGGCAGCAATTGCAGCAGGGATCTCTCTTACGGGAGGATCTGACAGCTTCATCCCTATGGAAATATAACTGACTGGAGCAACGAGCAGGCAGCTGAAGTGCTGATGAAGACCTCCTTCCCTCACTAAAGTGCACTTACAGTCAGAAAACTGCTTTGCAAGACACCAAGTCAACTCCCCCAACTTTAAAAACAAACAAAGAAAAAAAAAAAAAAACAAAAAAACCTAATTTGTCAGATTTGCTCAGTTAGAGATATGTCCTGCGCCCCTCACCCGCTGCAAATCACTGTCCATACAACCTGGGGCAAAGGAGGAAGCCGAGGGCTGGCTCTGCCTCTCTCCACATCACCAGCAACAAGACTCTGCAGCCAAAATGCAGTGGGAAAGGGCAGAGGGCACGGGAGGCAGGAGCAGAGCCATGTGGTTCCTCCAGGCAGCAGGACCGAGCTGCCAGCAGGGCGAGCATTGAGCTTCTGTGTGCGCTCACAGCAGAGATCTGTGGGTCGATGTTTATCTGAAACAAGGTCACTTTTCTGACCATACTGGCACTTTAAGATGCTTTGAGTCTGTAACGTGGAAAAATAAAAATAAAATAATGAAACCCTAAGGAGATGCCAGAGGTGAGAACGGCGAGGTTCATGAGATTTCAGGGTTAGCAGAAGAAGGAACTGATATCGTCATTGTCTCCATGGTATTCTGGAACGATTTGGTCGGAAGTCCCTGTCTCCTGGTCTGTATATCCTGGCTCCAGGACCGCCTCGAACCAGGGATGGAGCAGGATCTCCGGGGCTGTGAGTCTTTCGGAGGGCTCCCGCCGCAGGAGGCTGCGGATGAGGCATCGGGCTTTGGGGGAGACGTGGTCAGGAATACAGAACTGTCCGCGGCGGATTTTGGAAAACAGGGTGCTAGGGTCCGAGTCGTGGAAGGGATAGCGTCCCACGAGCAGGGTGTAGAGCATCACTCCCAAGCTCCACACGTCAGCCGACTTCCCCGAGTACGTCCCCGTTGTGTTGAGGATCTCAGGGCTGACGTAGGCGGGACAGCCATGTTTATCCGACAGCGCGTCGTCCTCGCCCTTGATGATGTGCGTGTCCTCCAGGCTCTCCAGCCTCAGCTGCGTCCTGCGGGGGGCAATGGATGGAAGCCTTGGGTTAGAGACAAGGGGCAAGCAAGACCAACAGCTCTGTGCAGTGACCACCACTCCATTCCATGCATTACCAAAGGAGAGGCAACAACTTCCTAATTTGCACCAGGGATGCTTATCCCAGACCCAAGTGTAGCTATGTGCATGGTTGTTTGCTGGGATGTCAGCAAGTGCCGGGCTCTCGAGGAATGCCAGCGAAGCTCCTGCTGCCATCCCAGCATTCATTTTCACAGCACAAAGCCTAGTTGTTCTGTATTCTCAGTGCTCACCAGCTTCCTCAATCACTATTTTCTCCCATTTGCCTTTCCAGGTGGTGCCCCAGTCCCGGTGGTGGCAAACCGGGAGCTTCCCAGCAGCAGCTACCGCTCACGTGCCGCAGGGATGTGCTAACTGCAGCCTGTCCTCGGCGTGACCTCCCGCTGCAATGCAAAATACCCATCGGTTCTGTAAACGGAAAATGTGACTCAATGCGAACCGTGGGCCCGGGATTGGCCGCGGGAGCACTGAAACTGCACCTGTGCTGGTGAGCCCCAGCGCCCGCCTGCCATTGCTTAACCCTCTTCTTGCCAAACGCAATGCACATGACACTCGCCTGTGCAACACCAGTTTCCAAACGAGCCAGGCTGTGTGCAATGTAACATTTCAACAAATGTTTCATCTCACTAGGGGCGGGAAAAGCTGCAATAGTTTCCTTCAAAGGAATTACTTTCTTTGCATGTCAACATACGGCTGTTTCTGTTTAAGAGGTGCAGTACTGGTTCGTTGTCTTATCACCTTCACAACCGATATCCCATAGAAGCAGTTAAAAAAGAAAACCAAACAGCGGTTTCTTCTGTTTCATCACATTAAGCAGGAGCCCACTGCAGCCTGTACCCATTTTTTGAGCTTCATACAGCACAGCGGCCATCCAGGGTCAATTCCTGGGGCTGACACCACACTCCCAGCTCTGCCACGTGCAGCATGGTGCACAGAGCAGCCAGCTCTCCAGGGAGACACTGAATGCTTTCCCTGGTCTAAATTTAGAAGCTCATCCCAACAGCGTGCCAGCAGATGGGGGAAGCTGGAAGCACCTTGCTATAACTCAGGCTTTAGGTTAAGTTCTACCACTTTTCCCCCCCGTGGGACATTTAACCACATGCCGCCCTCTGTGCCGTGCATGTCCATATCCACAGAGCAGCAGAAGCATCACCACCAGCACGGAAATGCCGAGCAGCACTATGCTGCCCTCGTTCCCTCCACATCCCAGCCCTTCATTCGTTTGGCCCTACAACTCATCCATCATCACCAAGACCCAACTGCTGTCCCGTGACTACCAATGGATCTCACTGAACTTCTGCTGGAGGAGTGGAGGCTGATGGAGAGCTCCCTCCATTCCCTCAGCCAAGACCCGTCCGCAGCCCCTGTGTGCCCCACTGCACACATGGGGCACGGACCCGCCCCGCTCTTGGGATGCTCTTTGCCCTTCTGAATGAGGCTTCTCCACTGCCCGCCCGGTGACAGCCGCTCACCTCTCTTCGTTGGAGAAGACAAATTTCCTGAGCTTGAGGTCTCCAAGCACGATGGCCGACTGGTGGCAGTGAGCGACGGCCGCCACGATCTGTCGGAAAAGCCGGGCGGCCTCCTCCTCCCTCAGCCTCTTACAGCTCCGCACGTAGGAGTGCATGTCCCCAAAGTCCTTCTCGAAGAAGACGTAGGCCTTGGTGTCGCCGAGGATCACCTCCACCACACCGGTGATGTTGCGGTGCGAGGGCAGCTGGACGTAGGGCCGGATCTTGTCCTGGTAGTGTTTGAGTGGGAACACCTGTGCGGAGGAAATGAGCACAACGTTCGTTCTCGAGGGCGTTGGGAGCGGAATCGCGTCCAGCGACTCTTTCCAAACAATGCCGGGGATGGAGGAGCGCCAGGGCTCCGTGCTCCACTCGGAGCGGCACCGAGACCCTCCCCGCGGCTCCGCCGCTCGTTCCGCACGGACGACAGGGAGCAAAAGCCAAACCAACGGAAACCACAAACCGCCCCAAAGCCTTTCGTCCCATTTCGGAACCCCTCCGAGCCCTCACCGCCCGCCCCGGGACGCCCAGCGCTCACCTTGCAGCGGAGCTCCCTGCCGGAGCTGACGCTCAGCGCTCGGGACACCTGCTCGCGCTCGGCCAGCGGCAGCAGCAGATAGGAGGCGATCAGGCTGGGCCCCGCCGTGCCCACATTCCCCGCCGCCCCTCCGCCGGCCGCGGGCGAGGCGGGCGCGCAGGGCGAGCCGGGGGCGCTCAGGCAGTCCGGGGTTCCGCCGGGGCATTCGGCCAGGCGCGGGCACTTGGCGGCCGGAGCCTCCTCGGCGGGACCGTCGTGCAGCGGCGGGAGCCGCTTGGCCGGGGCGCTGCGGCAGCGGGCTGCCGGCAGGAGGAGCGCGGCGGCGCGGCGGGGCGGCGGCGGAGCGGGGCGGCTCATGGGGGGCGCGGAGCGGAGCGGCGCGGAGAGAGGAAGAAGAGGAGGAGCAGGAGGAGAAGAAGAAAAAGAAGAAGAAGAAGCGGGGCCGGGGGCTAAGGGCGGGCGGAGCGCGGCTGGCGCATCCCCTCGCTGTCCCCGCCGCAGCCCCGGGCCGTATCCACCATCTGCTGCCGACTCCGCGCTAAAGTACTTGGAGGCTTTAAAAAAAAAAAAAAAAAGATGGTTTCTCCTCCTCCTCCCGGCCCCTGACGCACGGGGAAGTGGGAGGAGGGAGCTCGGCCCGGCCCCGCTCCGCTCCGCCCCGCTCTCCGCCCGCCCCGCCGTGCCCCCGAGCCTCTCCGTGCGGTGATCCCGCAGCGCCCGTCGCACCCGGCCGACCCCGACCCCGCGTGGCGCTCCCACGCGTGAAAGCGGAACGCGGAGCCCGGCTCCGTCGCCACGAGGCTCCTTGGTTCGCTCAGCCCCGCGTGAAACTCGGGAGCCAGCGAGGGGCCCCTCCCGGAGCGGCTGTAGGGCGGGGAGCCGCCGAGTGGGAGGAAAGCGAGAGAGAAACGGGCAGCAAACAGAAAAACGCGCGGGGAGCTGCAGCGTTAGCGCTTCAGGAGGAAGCACGGCCGGCTTTTCTGTTCACATCGGTGCCCGGTTCCAGGAGCTCGGCGCCGAGGCTTCCCCGTGCCGCGGGTTGCCCGCCCGTCCGCCCCAGCCCCGGCTCCGCCGTCAGCGTTCGCCGTGTATTTTAAGAAACGCATGAAACCGTGCTGCTGGCTGAGTCACGGCATAGCAGAGCCATTAATGCGTTTAAACACAGAATGCATATGCCATAAAGGGATATCCCAGGGGCTGCATTTTCCTTTCTTTGCCTTTTTTATTTTTTTTATTTTTTTTCCTTTAACAAACAATTCGGAGAACGTCTGCAGATTTTTTCTGAGCGATTCACCGCAGCTCGGAACGCGCTGTTGTATTTTGTTCCCCTTATAGGCAAAGCACGCACGGACCATCAGCCTTTCTGCTTCGTGTTGCCCCTCCTGGAAGGCTGCGTCCCGTCGGTGCTTCTGTACAGGTGTGACGAGATGGGCGCCCAGCTGTGCCCCGCTGTCTCTTTCTGTTGGTCACGCAGTGGCACAGCCTGCCGGGGGTGGGGAGTCCCATCCCTGCAGGTGTTCAAGAAGCGTGTGGATGTGGCACAGAGGGACGTGGTTAGTGGGCACGGTGGGGGTGGGCCGATGGTTGGACTGGAACTTTTTGGCTTGCCTGGGCCGCACTGAGTGAGGAGGAATTGCCTTTGGCTGCATATATGTAAGTTGCTTCAGAATTCATGCCTCCTATTTATTTCCACGGAAAGTACAACTTCTACAAAGAGCACAATAACACTGTTTGATAGAGCAAACTCTCAGCCACAGAACACATTTTTTCAGCACAATCACCATTAGCTGTGCATTCTCACCAGCAGTGAACGAGAGCCTCCATGCCCAATCTGCATCAGCAAAGTGACCCATTGTCGCCACTGCTGAAACACCACCCACTGCCCCACTGTGTTCACACCCACTGTTTGCTCTCCAGAAACATTCAGCAAGTGTCAGTGTACATCAGTAGGTGCCATTTTTTTCTGCATGGAGTTGTTTAATGACACGCCTTAGCTTCATATGCACTTCCATGTCAGATGCTATTCTGTCAGACTGCCCCTCTGCTGCAATCTGCCACACAGCAACAACATGGAACTGAGTGCTGGTGGGAAGGATCAACCTCTACTGCTGTACCACCAACATCTGCCTCTGATGTTATGGCCCAACACTGTAAAACAGAAGGCATTACTTTCAGAACATCCCTTGTAAAATATACAATATCATTAATATATAACTAAAAAACATTTTAATTTTTAATATTTTTCTTAAAACATTTTAAAAGAAAGAGAGGAACAAAAGCATAAAACTAGTGGGATACGTGACCCTGCTTTTGTGAAGCTGGCACACCAGCCTGGTTCGATGGCAGTAGCTGCAGTTCTCAGTGAGCTCTCAAGGTGTTCATCAGAGATTCTGGATGAAATTTTACTCTTTGTGTACTTCATCCATCCTTGATAACCATTCACAAATGTGCCAAACAGCGATGACACGAATAAGGTGTGATGCAAAGCGACGGATATTTCTCTGCTATTTCAGAGGGATTCTGAAACTGGCAGAGACAGTTCAATCTTTGATTGCAACTCTATACATTTCATTTGAACATTTGCAGGCCATGTATTTTTATCAGCTGAAAATGGTGTCACAAACACAAATGGATTCTTTTGGCAATCTTGAAACCTATTCTCAAAGCTCTTTATGAAGCCAGAAAACACAGCTGCGTATTCTTTGCTGTTCAGAGCCCCGTGTTTGTTTAGCCAACGTACTGACACGCACACAGGGATGTGCCATCACTTGAGTCAGCACTGTGCTCCCCATGCCCCGGCTCCAGCTGACCCAGCACTAATGGTGCACTGACGGTCTGGCTGTTGCTGTGAGATGGGCCATGCCTGGGTCTGCTCTGTGGGGTACAGCCGCCGTCTTTGTAGCACAGGGCAAGGGGCTTGGTGGGCTTTTCTGACCTTAGTGGTTCCATGATTTTCATTTAAAGCCTTTCCCCCTTGTCCTATCGCTACCCGACCTTGTAAGAGTCAGCCTCCCTCCTGCTTCTAAGCTCCCCTCAAGTACCAGAAGGCCGCAGTGAGGTCTTCCCGATCTTTCCCTTCTCAAGGCTGAACCAGCCCAGCTCCCTCCTCCTTCAAAATGCTTTTGGGTACTCATGGTATTAATGCCATGAATAAACATGTAGTAGCAAAGTTGTAACCAAATAACGCTCTGTACGCTATTGTCATTCTGACTGTTTAGGTATGGATCACAGTGAAAGGTCCACATATGGACTCACCATCACCAAATTCCTTCCAACATGCTGCAGAGTGGAACAAGAATCATAGAATGGTTTTGGTTGGACATTTAAGATCATTTCATTCCAACACCTTGCTATAGGCAGGGACACCTCCCTCTAGACCAGGTTGCTCACAGCCCCATCCAGCCTGGCCTTGAATGCTTCCAGGGAGAGAGCATTCACAGCTTCTCTGAGCAACCTGTTTCAGTGTCTCACCACTATCACAGTGAAGAATTTCTTCCTGATATCTAGTCTAAAGAGGGAAGTGATTCCCTGCTTGGGGCTTCTGTCTTTTCTAATTTTAGCTGATCCCCAGAATGAAAAATAACAAAGCAGGGGATAGCGGGGCCGGCTGGTTGCTGAGTGCACATTGGTGCTTCTCAAGGGCTGAAACTCATCCTCTCTTGGCCACCTCTGCCAGCGCTGGCACACGAGCCAAATTTTGTTGTGAACCTGTGCAAAAAAATAGGAAAGGTTTGTGAAGAGCACCTCCCAAGTCCTAAATCACTTTGAAGTGTTACCTAAGGGAACTTTGGGTATTGCCATTCCATTCCCGTGTTATTTAAGGAAATTTTCTCCCATGGCATTCCAACATCTGTCTCAGGCTTGGCAGTGCTTCCACTGCGAGCTCGGCTGCTCACCCTGTGAGTTATCTGTCTCCACTGCTCCACTTCTCTGACCCTTTGTCTCTGTAACTGGAGCAGCCAGCAGCAGTGGGAATTGTGTAACCACCTCCCCACTTCCCCAGTGCCTGGGACAGGTCCGGTTACTCTGACAGTGTGTCTCGTGGGATATGCAGAGTGCCTCAGTTGGATTGGGCCAGTTATAAATAAACTGGCTGCTTGCTATGGGAAGAAATTAATAAGTCATTGTTTTAGTTATCGGAAGATGCACAGCACACCAGTACTTGAGTGAATATTAAACTATCAGGCAAATATTAAACTATCAGAAAAATAAATACCATTATATTATGAGCTATTTCAAGACCTCTAACGACATTTACACAACTGCTGGATTTAACGCCAGCAGTGCAAACCCAGCAGCCAACACATGGTCTGCTGCAGAGCTGCTGTATAGAATCCCCCAGCACAGAAAAGGCTCCAAGCTGTGTGCTCAGGTGATAAAGAACTAGAACTCCCATTTTGTGGCAGGAATAATACCCATGGTAATGCTACAATCAGCATTATGCACTGTGATATTCAGTGGTGGATTCAGTGCTGAGATATCAAACACATGACAGGAGCGCAGTGACATCAAAGGGACTGCAGTGTACTGGTGTTCAGATGTCTCCCCTCAAGCCCTCCCGGAAGCCTGTCTGAGGGCTGCTGTTGCTGGGATAGCTACATAATTCCCTTTTGACAATCCCGTTGTTATCAAACCCAAGGAGTCTCATGAGCAGCACCTCCTGACTTTGTCCCTTTTCAGACTGAAGAGTATGAAAGCTGCTTCTGTTGCTTGGAGATGTGTGGAGGTTCAGGTCTCAAACCTCAAACCCTGTTCTTACTTCAGAAGCTGATTGCACAAGCGGGCAGTGAATGAGTGGCTCTCCGCTTCCCCTGCGGTCAGAGAGGATCCTATTCATGCCGAGTTTACAAGCAAACACTTCCTTTGGTAAGCTTCCCATGCAATTCAATTCATGTGCGTGCTTTCAAGCTCTGTCCTCGGGTCTGGACTAAGTGCAGAAGAACCAAGAGAGGCACAGCCTCCTCCACCCCGCTGCTACCTTGTGAGCAGTGTTTTGAAACAGTGAAACACATGCCTTTGTACAAATGTCGGAGCAGTCCTGTTATACTGCTGAGCTTACTTGAGCAGGACATGGATGAGCACATCCATGGGTACCACTGCCCAACTTGCACGCATCCCAGCACTTCACCTGCTCAGCAATCCAGGGGATATTCTTCCTTCTCTCAGTTGCTGGCCAGCAGCCTACAACCCACTGGCACGCACACACAGAGTTTCCCTCTGGGCACTGCTGTGAGCGTGCCACGTGTTTAAATGACATGTATGAGCAGTGAGTCCTCTGGGACCAGAAAATAGAATGTTATTTATGGAAGATTTGGAATCACTGTTTGCAATAAGAACTTTCTGTGTCAAAAAGAGTCCTGGATGACCGATGGTTTCGCTGTAGTTGTGATGAGGTGCCCTTGGTTTAATGCTTTGGCTGCAGCAAGAGAAAGGAGGAATTTTCCACTCCAGGAAACATATTTCCCAGGTGCATCTTTGCTATGTAACAGAGCGCTGTCAGTAGGGCCCCACTGCACCTCGGATCCATACAGGGAGATTTCTAGGGAAGCTGGAGATTAACGCTCACATGAAACCACAGTGAAAGTTAATCTTGTTCCACAGTGAATTCTGCACTGGTTTCAGCCACAATGCTGGAGCTATTCTTGAGAAAAACGTCATGAGGTGCTTGTGACCACAGGTAGGTAAGACCTTTGTCATCAGCCACTCATGAGGAAACATGAGTATATCCAAGGGGACGTTGTCTAAAATAAGGCAGTGTGTTGGCCTCGGTGTTGAGTCATCGATCTCACTTCCTCCAGCCCCTGCTCTTGCTCTGGGTGTTTCTCAAGGGAGCACTGACTTAGCCCAGTCTTTGTGATTCTTCTAGAATGAATAAGATCACAGCTCAGGAGCAGCAGTGATGAATGTACCTTGATTCAGAGCAGTGCATGCTCCTTTTAGCACAAGTGTGCTAAATCTTCCATGAGATGCCTGCCTGATTAGTTCTTCTTTTACACTTTATGGCTCCACTGATTGGAAAACAGAGGGAGTGTCTACTTTTAAGATGGAAAATCAGTTCCAGTGAGAGCTGTGCTAATGGCTCATGCCCCAGGGCACCACTGAACACTTTGGCATATAGATCCCTACTACCTTTTATTTGTTTGATTAGACGTTTCTTTAATCAAAATACTATATGGAACTTCTCTTCTCTGGCAGAGACAGATTCTCACCAGGTTTCGGTGTCACACTTCACCAACTCCACCTAGGTTTGCTGCATTTGTAAAAGACCCCTCATGGAACAGAAAAAAGCCTCACCTGTAAGTTTCTTTCCTTAAATATTGCAAAATTTCTGACGTCAAGCAATGAGACACAAATTACTCTGTGAACTGTTAACATATGCCTGTTTACATACGATATCTTATAGCCAAAACAGATTAAGATTCGAGCTTTAACTGCTGTTGTTTCCACTTCTGTGAGTCATACTGATCAGCCTATTCATCACAGACACTTGTTTTTATTCTTTAACTCTTGCAAGCTACTTCTATCCAGAGCAGAGTTTATGCAGGACATAGGACATGTGGGAACAGTGAGGTCACAGGTGTGACACAAAACCCAGTGAAGCAGCAATGAGCTGTCACTAAGTACAGCCACCCCAACAAAGCAGCAGCAAAGGAGGAAAGGAAGATCAAGTATTTTGCCATCATCATGGCACCAGCTTAATGGTATGAATTAGTCTGGCATAATTTAGCATTTATAATGTTATGTATTATCTGAAACATCTAGACACCCACATGAACTACATTTGAGGTGAGAAACTGCAGCCATTGAATGTGTAGCTACATCTTTGCATCTGAAGACTTGGTAGGCTGATTACTGGTAAGGACTGATTTAGATCCACCAGGACAACACTACTGCACCCCTGCAGAGATTGCTGAACCAACGTAAGTTTCAGACACATTTGTGTTTCTGAGTGTTCTGCCTATAAATGATGACAGAGAAGATCTAACCACAAACTTAGAGATGAAAGACAAAGCTGCAACATAGGGATCCCTCCACCACCACCATTACCACTTTTGAGACAAACAATAGTTAACCTCCTCTCTTGTGGCATTTAACTCTATCACTTCTTTGAAAATCAATAACATATCTCCTGAACAGTCTTTGACCTGAGATGTCTTAAAAGGAAATTGATTTTCACACCTAAGTGGACAAAAAAGTGCATAGTGCTCAATTGCTCTCAAATCTCTTTCCAGTATTTCAATTGGGCTTACAGACAGAAGCATTCCTGATCACTACTGAGTTTTGGAAGAGAGACTTTTGGGGTTAGATTATGAAAATTACCCAGCTAATTCTCATGAAGTGTTTTGAATACAAAAGCTCAGTGCAAATAATAATGCCCCAGTTCCCTTTTTTTAGCTACGAAATCAGCTTGCAGATTAATATTCTTCAATTACAAAATAATAATTTCAGCTTGAAGTGGTTTGCACACAAGTGCAATTGGGGTTAATAATAGTCTAATAAAGGAAAGCTGTTAGCAAACAGCAACACAGAATGAAAAGCTTAGCATTTGGGTACCCTGACTACATTTTGTACTGAACATCAGCTCGTACATTAAGAAAAATGACTTAGGAAAAATCTAACTCACTAAGGATCCCAAAGCTCGAAGAATCCTGTATTTTCAATTTCAAATATAAGAAAATTGCCACCTGACTGCCAGGGCAGCTCTTTTTACCAGCAGTTATTTGTGATGCATATAACCAGTATATTACCTGCTGGATACCTGCAGACCGATCCAGGGAGTAACTACTGAGTGTCAGAAAGTTTACATCCTTTTTTGGATTTGTACCCAAATGTACAGAAAAATGAAGTTTATATAACATGAGAAAAGCCTAAGTTTGTGCAGAGCATTCGATAATTTTAAGAACAAGGAGAAGATCCTTTAAGGTGCATGGTAACGTGATGTGTCTATATACAATGTACAGATGTGTAGCACTTACTGTTCTTATGAAGTTTCCTGTGGTTTGTATTGAAGCAGGGAAGCACTCCTAAGCAAGGTATATAACCTGGGTAAATCCTGGTGGGAGTGCCCTACTCAGTATTCCCAGCAGTTAGGAACAGTAACAACTGTCTGCAATACTGAGCAAAGCACTCACATTTAATGCTGGCAGAATCTGCACCTCTAATATGCTGAAAAAAATAACATGCTGACTAGGGAAGTTAAAGGCTGAAAGCCACATTTTATTTAACAAACGCAACATTTAGAATTTCAAGAAATAGAAAAAAAAAACAACAAGAATTCCTCATATTTGGCGGCTGAAAAAGTATTTTCAGTTACAGCGGAGACCTTCAACTTTGCCTATAAATGAAACACTTTAAATAACAATCCGTTACACAACCTGCTTACAATCAGCAGCTTATCTCAGGAGACCTCTAATAACAAATTTTCTTTGTGGCAGCGGCACTTCCAGCCGATTTCTACAGCATTGACCAGCTTTGTTTATTCTGACTGTCAATCGCTCTTTTAAGTGCTTCATCTGGCACGAGATCTGATCCTTTTACATCATCATGGCTACAGCCAATTTTAGGGCAGCTGTTAAAAAGAAGAGAGAGACTCCAGTAAGTGAGGAGAATTGTATTAGTCAGGCACAGATTTTTACATAACATCTGCTGCTTTATTCTATTTATCTGGGATTCACACTCAGTCAGCTCCCCGTTACCTCTTTTCCTCTTCACCAGCCCTCTGTGGGGAAAAATAAATCCATTTATCTAAATGGGTGGGAACCAACAGCTGAAGGTAGGAACGCAGGGATGGAGCCTCTCACCTGTAGATTGCTCCCTTGTTCCCTGGACACAGCATTAGTAATGATTGTAACACTGCACAGAAGTCTTGCTATGTTGCTTTTCTCTCTTTGAAGTTCTCTGTAAACTCCAGGTAATTACCTCTTACCCCATTACTCTGCAGTGGAGTGGTATAATCTTCACTGATAGATAAATAGGGAAATTAACTTGTAGGGAAATAAATAGATTACATGAGGCTTGCAGAGGCTGACTAGCGAATCACTGGAACACACTGGGAGTCAGTGTGAAAATTCACCTGTCCTGTTATGAACTAAGGAAGCAGAGAAAGGAGAGATGGGGTCAAATGAGCAGACTCTAAACAAAGATCTGATACAAAATGGATTACAACTACTTGAAACAATCAAAGAAAGATAACAGGGTGAAAAATATTCAGGGTCCAGAGGTCATTCTCCTTAGGCAGTGGCCCAAACATTCACAGATGGCACCTGTCATCAGAAATTACATTTTTTCTGATTTCTTTTTCCTTCTTAGGAATAACTTTTGTCTCAGGTGCTGAACTTATTTGTATTCAGTACTCATAGCTTTTATTCCAGACTTGCCAGCTGCCTGCTGCGTGTGTCATGGGTAAGTCACTTAATTGCTCTGTGCCTCAGTTTTCCCATTTATCACATTATAGGAGCAATAACTTAACAGATTAATGAATAACTAGTGCTTAGAAAGCTTCCAACATTATCTGTAAGCATGAAGTGTTAGTGTGTCCTTCCAGGCAATGGAAAATAGTGAGCAAACTGAGATATATCAGAATTGCCACAAGTCTTCTGCGGCTGAGTCCAGCAGCACAAAGCTAGTGGCTGTGTGTGTGTGTGTGTCAGCTGAAGGACTGCCAAATGTACCAAGGACATCCAGTGGTTTCAAACACTGCATACAGTATGTGTGAGAAGACAGCTGCTTCTATAGCTCTGCAATGAGCAATGGCCTTGATTTATGAGTAAAGACAGAAAGGACTCCCCTAGCCAGCACTGTGCTCTTTCAGGATACTTACTCCTTCTTGAATAAAGCTGCATAATGTTGAGTAACACAGACAGGATGGTTCCAGAAAGAGGAACTTGTTGCTTTACGTCTGTCTTCCCACGATTCAGACTATGGTTTTTCAAAGACTGAGAGCATTTTCTTGAGAAAGGTTAAAATTACAGCAGATCAATGAAACTGGGCAGAGAAAACCAGGCAACCTTTCTCAATCTAGTTACAGTGAAACCCGGTTAGTGCTGTGTTCTTACTTTTCTGGCATGTTGCAATAACTGCTGTCCAAGTGGTAACGGCGCAAGCTCAAAACTTAAGATTAAGATCCACCAGGATTCAGACTGCACAAATAACTTCAGTTTGAGCATAAAGTTGCTTTTAAAGCTGGGCATTTTACAGCTTTGATAATATTTTTTACTCTCTATTTCCTCTAAGTCATTAATTTCTTAAAATGGAAAATAAGAATTCAGCTCTACAACCCCATCAGTTTTATCAGCAGTGATGAAACTTCTCAGATCCACCAGAGTGGTCTCTACTACAACATTTCTCCATTTGTTGCAGACGGAAATCCCTCTTTGCTTGGAAGAGAGAAGCAGCAATGTGGCTTATTGGTATAAAGCAGTGGTTTGACAAAGCTTATGTGACTTAACAAAATTCAACGATGGTGAGGTTCTCTGGGCTATTTACTGCACAGAGGACAGGGTAAGTCAGAGGTGTCAGAGTGACCCTCCCGTTGAGTCAGGAGGTATTTTGTGTAGTAGTTCAGGCTGCTGAGCACTTTCCTAGCCTGTTCTTATCCTCCAGAAGTCTTAGTCTTTTCTCTCCAACTTGTGAGCTATTTCCCATTCTTCTTCAGTCTTCTAGCTACATTCCTGTCCCCTCCATGTTGCTGGCTTGTTGTCATCCACAGCATATTGCATGCCCTCTGCATTTTTCTATAGCCCTCCTAAGGTGCTAAGATAAGGTGCTTCTTCCTTGTTCTTCAAGGTAGTGTCCAGAGTACAGAAAGCCACCGAGAGCCATCACAATGGCTGATTGATTTTGTAGTGGTGCTTTCCTGCAGCCAGGAAGGAGAAGTTCTGCCCCACTTTGTATCCATGTGGCAGAGTGTGTACAGTCTGACAGAAATGCAAGAGCTACAGATAGAGGAAGTAAGCTAACTGTGGCTTTATCTGTGGAGAAATCAGGTTGCTAGTCTCTACAGATCTTCCTGAGCAACTGCACATTCGTTTAAAAGTCCACAACTTGTATGTTTCCATGAGGTCATCAACACAAAAGCATGAAACTCTGGCTATCTGGCATGAAAACACATCAATAATGATGGGTAAGGATGACAAAGTATGTTCTCTAAATTTGCTCTGAAGAGCCTTTGAGCTTCTCTTCCTCTTGTTTGGTTTTTCAAAAAATCAAAACAATTCAAAATTTGAAACACATCAGGAAGAATTTCAGGTTTCATAATTCAACTTTTACATGTTTTCATTCAACAAAATGCAAATGGTATCCTGAGCCAGCAGGGACAGGGAGGTGATTGTCCCCTTCTACTCTGCCCTTGTGAGGCCCCATCTGGAGTACTGTGTCCAGGTCTGGAGCCCCCAGTACAAGAAAGACAGGGAGCTGTTGGAGAGGGTCCAGAGGAGAGCCACAAAGATGATCAGGGGACTGGAGCACCTCCCCTGTGAGGACAGGCTGAGGGAGCTGGGCTTGTTCAGCCTGGAGAAAAGAAGGCTGTGGGGTGACCTCATTGCAGCCTTTCAGTACCTAAAGGGAACCTACAAACAGGAGGGGAATCAACTCTTTGAAAGGTTAAATAACAGCAGGACGAGGGGAAATGGTTTTAAGTTGAGGGAGGGAAGATTTAGGTTGAATGTCAGGGCGAAATTCTTTACAGAGAGAGTGGTGAGGTGCTGGAACAGGCTGCCCAAAGAGGTTACGGATGCCCCATCCCTGGAGGTGTTCAAGGCCAGATTGGATGGGGCCCTGGGCAGCCTGGTCAAGTATTAAATGGGGAGGTTGGTAGTCCAGCAGGGGGGTTGGAGATTCATGGTCCTTGAGGTCCCTTCCAACACTGGGCATTCTGTGATTCTGTGAAGATGTATCCTACATGGAAAGCAGCAAGATGCTTTAGTGTTGTAGAATAAGAATCAATTCACTGCATTGTAGTAGAAAGCATACAGTTCTTTCTGGTCATTCTTAAATTCTGTACTACCTAGAAGGTTGAATTTTAATACTTCTCATTGCTAATTGTATTGGAACCTAACTGCAGAAGAGGATGCACAGCATTTAATTTTTCATTAACATTTAATTTTTCATTAACCTTAAGGCTTGCTAAGTAAGCAGTGGGAATGCAATGAGCAACCAAACCTTATGAAGCTGAAGTTTCTCTCTGTTGTTCACAGCTATACAAAATCTCTTTTATTCTGTTGTGCAGGTTCCATGAGTAGCTGTAACTTCCCCACACACTTCCTGAATATTTCCTTGCACATTGTTTTCATTAAAGAAAAAAATCCTTCATGCACTGTACTAATGAGGAGACTGACTTGGGCAGACGCTGAGGTATTACTTCCTGTAGCCTTGCCAATCCAAACACATTTCCTAGAACAAGTGGAGTAAAATTCCACTTACACAGCAAAGCAAATAGCTTTTCCACACATTCCTGATAGCTTACCAGACTTTCTTCTTCTGCTGCTTTCGAGTCTGGATGAATTTTAGAATGGCATCCTCTTCATAGGAATGTCCACAGACTTTGTTTCGAACTGGCTTCTTCATTTCCACCTGTAATCAATAAGGTTTGATGTAAAGGAATTGAGAATGTCCACTGAAAGTGCTTCTTACAAAACTCATGTAAAACAGCAGGAAGTCTTTTTGCCACTCACACATGACATTGCACTGAAGTTATGGGATCAGATCCTGCATAGGAAACTGCCTTGCTACTTATGTGATTGGTTTTTTCCCTCAGCAATGCCATTCCTCTCTGATAATGCTTGCCTGCTTTTTAACAAGTATTTGCAATAAACAATCCAATGAAGGACATGAAATAGCTCTTTCCTAATCTCTGATAGTGTGATAGCATACCTGTGTAATGGGACAAATGAAGTTCATCTGACTCTGAGTCACAGCTATATCTTCATCGATTTGTTCGATGTCGTCATTATCATTACTATCTGATTGAAGACGAACTATAATGGGAAACAAGACAATTTCCATTAGTATTTAGATAGCCAATACCTAAAATAAGCAAATAAGATCTAGTATTTGCCCAGCGTTATCTCACAGTGACATCTAAGATGCCACAACTTGTTTCTGTATCTACTCCCTGAACAAGATAAAGCAAAAATACTCTACTACAGTATCTGTTACAAAACGTGTAGCTTTTTACCTTTCTTAAATGGCAACTACCTTTTTTTTTGGTAGCTATTTATAGCCATTGCTAGAAAGGAGAGCTGGAAAGGAAAGCAAGCTGGCCTGAATATACGCAAAGCCTTTTGTTCTCCCTGTTCAAGTTCACAGAAAACCAATAGCCTGCAGACATGCACCCAAAATCTAACACAGGATGAGGGGGAGCTTTTCTAGACCTGGCAGTCCAGCGCCCAAGATCAGTTTGTGCTTGAATGTCATAACTGGGCAATTACATGCAATTCATACTATTTATCATAAAACATAATTTGTGAAGTGATGCCATTATATTTTAACAAGACTACAATTGGTGAAAAACAAAGCCAAGAATTTGTTATTTGAGATAGGCAGCAAAAAAGTTACTGAAGTAAGCTGGTGGATCAGTGCCTGGGAGTGAAGGGCAGACAGATGGGGAAATGCCCCAGAGCCAGAGGAGCTGCAGGTTCCCCTGTGTCAGAGCACCAAGGTGAGCTGTAAGCATACAGCCAGGGCACACCGGCCAAGTGTCGTGCAGAAACTCATCAGCCAAAACCAAGAGTGAGACATAGAGCAGCTGAGGAGGATTCCTTACTGCTAAATGTAGCCTTAATAAACGTCTATGCACTGTTTTATCTCTTTCTAACTTTGTTCAGTTATTATGAATTTAAGATTTTAGTCCAATATACTTGGCTATCTGTAACCTGCTAATAAAAGCAAATTGAACCTGCCATAATTTTCCAATCTTTTGGGGTGAGCCTCCGGTATTTTGCAGCAGTTCCCTGGAGCATCCTCCCAAGGTGGCCAGGCTGAACAGAACGTTTTCCTCTTGATTGCATCAGCTGGTTTGCAATTACAGAATCATCTGAATTGGAAGGGACCCTTAAAGGCCATCTAGTCCAAATCCCCTGCAACGAACAGGGACACCTACAGCTAGAGCAAGTTGCTCAGAGCCCTGGGTAGCCTGACATTGGGTGTCTCCATGGACAGGATGTCCATCAGCTCTCTGGGCAACCCATTCCAGTGCTGCATTACTCTTATCATAAAAATGTGGGAGCAATGCAGGAGCACAGTGTTTGCACAGGATGACTTCATTCAGGGCCCTGTGTTGGCTTTCCCTGCCAGCGGGAGAAACACAACAGCACAGGGAGGGTCTCAGTTATGATTTGCCTTCTACAGAGCTTCAGCTCTGGTTCCCTTTGCTGCAGCTGCTACCACACGCTATCAGCTGATCTTTGCATCCCTGGTATTCAGCCCTCCACATCTGTTAAGGATCGGTGTTTCCTAACTTATGGTCAGCCCTGCATGCCTGTGTAGTACCATCACCTTCCGCATGATAACAGAAGACATCACCCTGGAAGCAAATGCAGTCTCTCACACCCAGTCTAAACAGAGCAGGCTGCCAGGCAAGCAGGCCCAGCTTTGCTCTGAATACTTCGACATCAACACTGCAACCATCATTCCCCACAGCCTGCACACTTCTCCTTCCTTCCTCCTTAGCAGAGCTCGCCCCACTCTGCATTTCATGATAGGAGTTTGTCAAGCATTCAGGAAAGAGGGGAGATTTAGATTAGATGTTAGGAGGAAATTCTTTACTCAGAGGGAGGCGAGGCATTGGCACAGATGCCCAAAGGGGCTGTGGTTGTCCCATCCCTGAAGGCACTCAAGGCCATGTTAGATGGGCCCTTGGCAGCCTGAGCTGGTATGGGGCAACCAGCCCATGGCAGAGGGTTGGGACTGTGTGGGCTTTGAGGTCCCTTCCAACCCAAGCCATTCTGTGATCCTATGGTTTTATGAAATCTCGGTTAGTAAGGCTAAAGAATATGCCAGATTATCAGTAGGTGTGAGCTTCTGCAGGGGCTGGTTTCTGTAAATACCACACTGATTATTTTCCTATGACTCACACTAACAAAGAACAGGAGCTTCAGAATTTCCTTAAATTCATGCATCTGCAAATTTTGACATCCTGCAGCTCCAATCTTTCCTGCTAGAAACATCTGGAAGCATGCATTTCAGTATGTTGTACTTTGTTTCAACTCAGGAACTTAGCACACAGCACACCAGCACAGTGTTAGACAGCCAGTGAAGCTGGAACGCAGCAGTGCTAGCAAGATCTAGGGCAGGTGATTGATTACAAGGGATGACTGACTTTTTAAATCAATAATATTTAGATACCAAGCTTGACTCTACACTGAATGTCTCAAGCCTTCCAATTATATGGAATAAATCACAGTGTGAGTTTACTTCCCTCTCTTACTGGCTTTGGAGGTGATTTAGAAGCCTGAGATTGGATAAGCCAAGACCCATTTCTGGTAGGTGGGATATATGAACCATCATGGATTCTGTCTTCTTGCTTCAAACTGGCCCTGAACACTTCTTGTTTGGACTTTATTTGCAATGACTGTGAACTGTCTACCAGAGTAGGGTCCTGCTTTCAAGAGGTTATCACAGCACAAACGAATTATTAAAGCATTTCCTTTTCATAAGCCGCTAATATTTTTTAATAATAAATGTGTAAGACTGGGATTATGTAAGCCATACCTCAAACATGTCAATTGCAAATTAGTGTAAGTCAGATAAAACACCCACAGATTAGTTGTTATTGCTTGGTGTTCGAGATTACAGAAGGAGAGAGGAAAATAACTTTTTCAGTTCCAGTAAAATCTGCAGAGATTACACGAAAGGAACAGACATACATACATCCCAAACCGGATGGTAGGATGTTATAAACCACAGATCTATGCCCATAAACTCATACTGGAAGATGTTTTTTCTGAAGGTCAAAGGGAATTTTACCAAATGAAATTACAAAAGTTTCAAAGTAGGACTTCTCTCCGGAAAGAAGAAATAGTAACAGAACACCATACATATTTCAGCTAAGTCAGGTTATATTTTTCTAGAACCGGGTATTCCTTGCAAATTAACACCAGATGCAGAAAACACTAAGTTATTGTTCCTGAAATTCAAATGTTGCCTTAAGCAACAGAATTACATAGATCTGTTTTGATACTCTAACATATTGCATTTTAAGACTTAGGAATTTCTGGTCTTCTGTTCCAGCCAATTGACATCTATTACGAGTGTTAGTAACACGTTTTCTATCTGGCTATCTCAGCAATTATGTTTACTGCTAATTAGTGCCCACTGTTGTAACAAAACTGCATTCTCATGAAGACATCTATTTTTGGTAACACATCATAATGAATTTTGCAACTGCCAACTGTTTTTGACTTATTCCATTTTAATTAAAAGCGGGTAGTACTTTATATCTCTATCACTTTCATCTCTTGATAAAAACGTGACTAATATGCCCTAGCTCACTTCTTACCGAGTCTGCTGAGAGACTGGGAATGTTTAAGACAACTTTTAAGAATGAGAAAGCTACAGGGCAGAGATATTAGCTCCTGTACTGAGGGTTATATTTAGCATGGGGAGTATACATACTAAAACAAAAGAGAGGAAAACGCCTCTCTGCTGTCATTTCCACTTCTGTTACAGACACACCACTGCCTGCTCAGTGCTTCCAGGGCCAACAATGTCTTCTACCCAATTCCCGTTTCTCTAAGGTGAGGAAGATTGCCATAACCTGGACACGAGAAAGCACATGTTGCAATGTCAACCTAATTGATTTCTTTCCTTTCGTGCTGCTGTGTTCTGCCTTCTCACCTGCCATCAGTCAGACGCTAATCCTGGGAATCAAAGAGAAACGTTAAGCACGCAGGACTGAGGCTTTGTGAGGCTGAGCCAGTAGCCAGACATGGTCCTGGCTCCCAAGAGGGTCTATTGTACTGCTGACTCTATAGAAATAACAGCAGCTCATCCAGGCTGGGAAAAGTCCTATCTCTGAGTGCTCCAAGAAAAACATGGATGTTGTGAGGGTAAATCAAGTGCCAAGTGTTCCTGCCAGCAGGACAAAGAAAATACTGAGAGGGAGAGAGGTGAAGGATGTCACACCCAAGGGTGAAAAGGGACAGTGATTGACCTGGACTGCTGCTAGCACAAGGTTAAAGGGGCCAGGGACAAGTCAAAAGGAGGGAAAAGACCACACTGCTGAGACCACTCGGGGCTGTGCTGAAGAGTGCCTGCCAGTGCTGAGAGCCTGAGCTGCCTTCAGAGCCAGAGCCAGAGCAGCTGCGCAGTGTTCGGAGTCCCAGATAGATCCACAATAAATGCTGCAGGAAGAATGAAAGAAGAGGGGAAACACAGAGTAATACATTCCTGATAAAATTTCCCAGCCTCTAGCTATTTGTGCCCAAGGACTTCCTGAGTCAGAGGTAATAACTTTGCACTTAATAGCCCCTGGAGTTTTCCTCCAATGAATTTGTCTGAACTTGGAGCGGGGAATTTGGGACTGGACTTTTCAGCTTGATTAGAGACAGTTATCTTTGCTAGAAAGGTTAGCAACAATTTAATTTTCCTTGAAACTTACCACAGAGGCTGCAGGTTATAGTTTAATTTGATTTTTAAAAGGGAAAATAAGGTGTGCAAGCTACAGCTGCAGTCAAAAAGTTCAAAGGCTGCCTGCTTTAGCTAGAGGCGAGCGATAGTTTAATTTGCCAACCAAGCCAAACTAGGCTTTGCATTAAAGTACATTACAATTTGATTACTTGCTGGTGTTGCAATACACGTGTTGATCTAAGGAAGGTGGCCTCTAACATACTGCTCCAGCTTGCAACTGCAAATCTACTTGTTCCTGCCCAGGCTAAGCAATTTGCTGTAAATTTACTCACAGTTCTTTTATGTATGCCCTGTTTTAACATCCTTGTGCAAGACTTATATAGACACAGACTTGGTAAATCCGAAATAAAGTGACAATCCTGTGCATATAAGCCATTCCAATTTTCCTGGGG